CGCCGAATTGGAAGTGGTCAACAAACATTAACAGGTTTTACACTAAATTGAACCGTGAAAGAACATACACTAAAACAACTGTAAATTTGAATGTTGAAATGTACCCCTGAGCACATGGAATTTAGTTAGTTAAATTTTCTTTTTAAGTGAACATCAAGATCAACTTTTCATCCTCACTTCAGTCAAGGACTCGCCGAATTGGAAGTGGTCAACAAACATTAACAGGTTTTACAGCCATGCTTTAATAAAGAACCGAATGCTGCTACTTCAGCAGAAAATGTGAGCTAGTTTAGATCTGTCCCATGATCAAATGTTCCTCCTTAATAATTTCAAAAACAAATAATTATTCATCTGACACTACAATTTTTCTTTGCAGGAGCAACAGAAGAAGTTGCCATACTGCATGCTACAAATAGTCTGTCTGCTCAAGATGTTATAAACGATGCGATGGAGATTTATACTGTTGATGAAACCTTGTCATCAGACTCAGGAGAGATGCAGACAGTGATGACTAAAAAAGAACATAGATTGCTCACTAAGAAGGAAAAGATAGCAGCAGGCATCTGGGTCCCCAACAGGACATGGAAAAGGAGGAAACGAGAGCTATTGAGTTCCACTGGTGAAGGATTGGGTTTTTCACATATGAAAATGACCACATTAGAAGACACTCCTCAAAATGCTCAACCATCTCCTTTAAAAAAATATAAAAGCAATACATCAGTAGTTAGTTCCACTGGTGAAGGATTGGGAGTTTCACATATGAAAATGACCACATTAGAAGACACTCCTCAAAAAGCTCAACCATCTCCTTTAAAAAAATATAAAAGCAATACAACACTAGTTGCACCTACTGCAAATGAGGCCAGCTGCAAAAACCAGGCTGCAATCTGTAAAATGGCAGTAGCACCAGCAGCTTACCCTGATGCGAGATTTTCTGGCAAAGACTGTGAAAAGTTACAAGACAGGCTGATGGATTTGGTACTCGGGAATGACAACACCAAGATCCCCCTTCAGTTTATTAAAACCTACCCTGAAAATGGGGCTCTTGTTTTCTCTTGCGGTAACATCGAAACCGTTGACTGGCTAAAGGGGGTGGGTCCCAACCTGGCGCTTGAAGGCGAAGGAGGCACTAAGGTAATTGTGGCAGATTATAGAGATCTGCTGCGTACGACCAAGGTGTTCTTGCGAACTGACAAGCGTATGGCCAAGATGGATGCCACCCAAGTTTTAAACCAGGTTCAACGGCAAAACCATGGTTTGACAACCGAGGATTGGCGTGTCATTGGTGGGAAGAAGAAGGAAGATCACCGTACTCTGGTTCTTGCAATTGATGAAACAAGTGCAAAGGTTTTGAAAGACCGTGGCTGGAGGATCTACTTGGGCTTGGGTCGAGTGCAGCTCATAGTACTCGCAGGTGCTTCCTCGGATGACCGAAGTCCTAAAGGAGAACCTACAACGCAGTAAGGTGGTCACTGCAAAATCAAGGTGTGTGGAGTATAAAAGGTGGGCCAGACTAAGTGGCCTGCGGTGATGATGTCACTAAAGACCCGGCGGTAATGGCTTCCACGCCATGTGACACATGTTGAGACTAGTTTGTTGTTTGTTTCTTGTTTAAAATCTGCAATTCCTTTTCTTTTCTTTTTTAACTTGTGTAGCATGGCAAGAAGGCTGCCACTAACGCAGGGTATGCTTTGAAATTATCACACAGAGCCTGGTCAGTCTTGTCCACTTCCTGTATACATAGTAAGTACTCTGTACACTTTGCTTAAAAGTCGTCCTTAGACTTTGTACTAGTGCAAAAATCACTCGGTTATAAATTTCAGAATTTAGGAAGTATGTATCTTAATAATGCATATGTCATCTCGGTGTTTGATCCACGCCCAAAAACATCCATTTTGGTCAAAGAGACTTTCTTGATAAAAAAAAACAGGTCTATTTATTTTTTCTTTAGATCTGAACGTCAACAAAAAATTAAGTTGTTGAAATTCAAGGTTTAAACACCTACAAAACTAACTAAATAAAATAAATTTTAAACAAAAACTGCTTATTTTTGTGTTATTTTATTATTTTTTGCATATGTTCCATGCTTATTGATTCAATTTGTATTACAAGTATAACTGCATGAGCTTATAGATGAATCAGTTGGACAGTGACATTTTCGAAATGCAAACATTTGTGCTCGTGTTTTCCTGTTCATTGTCGGTGTTTTTGCGCACAGAAAACAAACAAAACACGAGCAGTTGCTCAGAAAACCACACATGTGTGTAGATGTCTACTCGTTAATCAGCGAATTGCAAGACAACTAGATTGCCGAACGTCAAATATTTTGTGCTTGGCGAGTGGCACATGTCAGGAGCCGCCATTAGAGCAGAGGTAGACTTGCACCCTCACTACCTTTAAATTGAGTTCAGATGGTTTTGGACATCAGATCTCTTGGGCTGGGTAGCTGAGTGGTTACAGTGTTTGTCTTAATCAAAACGTCGCCGGTTTAATACTGAGTGTAGCCAGTAGCTTTTTGATGGTTCAGAACTGGATCCACTTGTCCTTGATCATTGAGATTTCAATAAATTTTCTAAAAAACAGCTGGTCTTAGTCAGTAACACCAGCAAAACCAGAATACCACTGGCTTCTGAAAATTTGAATGTTTCGTTTCAATATTTTAGGTTGCTAGACAAAGCATCTCCATTCCTTCCCCCATTTCCAGGTTCATTGTCTCATTTCCTCCATTCCTTTGGATTAAAATCTACATCAATCACGTAACAATAATAATGAGAATTTTTCGTTATCTATATCTCTACCCCAAGCTCTCAATACTGGTCATCATATAAATAATCCATCTGTAGTAGTTTCAAACTGGGTTTCACATGTATTTTTCTATTGGATTTGAGTTCACCCAGTATAGGCCATTGATTACACACCTCTACTAGATGTTGATCTCATAGATTTAGGTTCGGAATTAATAAGAATTGGATAGATCTCTTCCTTTCAGTGTTGCATCCATAGAGTAGTATTAGCAATCACCATGTCCGCTGCCAACTGCTAACCAACCCTAAAGTACGCTACAGTGCTTACTTCTAAACCCAATTTTTTTCCTGGTAGAGGTGTATTATCAATGGTTCAGTAAATTCATCAGCTGCTGCACACGAGAGATTTAGTCGAACAACAATGTTCAACAGAGAATAGGTAATGCTTTTATGTTATGCTTAATTTTGTATTATGTATTTTTAGTACTTATATTTACTTTTTTTGTACAATGTTTAATGTTATGTTATTTAAAATCCATGTTTTTAGCCACTGAGCGGTTGACTAAATTACCTCAAGACTAAATTACTACACATTTTCTATCAGAGCTGTCTCAGAGCTACAGCTCAAAAACAACATGAACAAACATCGTATTTTAGCTGACAGAAATTGCGTTAGTAATTTAACATTAAGATTAATTTTAGAATACAAATTTTACTTTTTTACTGTATTGAATAGTGCATATTATAATCTAAGACTGTTAGTATGATACAAATAATCTGCAGAGGCGTGGAGAAGGGGAAGACACAAGCTCTTCATTAACTTTACTTATGAGAGTGCTTGTTTTATTTTTTTTGTCTTTTTGATCAACTCGCCATACATATCAGCAGCAGCATCTATATTGTAGCTTATGTTCATCTTTACTTGACACGAGACAATGTCCACTTTAATTTAAGTTAGTGGAAGTGGCTTTACCTCATGGGTTTGAGTCCAATTTGCTCGTTTACAAAAAATCAACAGTGGATATTCCAAACTCACACAAACTGTACAAACATGTATGTATGTTTCAACTACTCAAAAATATTTTGAGATTAGGTTCAGGGCTAGCCAGTCCCAAACTTAATCTAAATCCTGAAGCCAGCTGAACTACTCTGCAAGTCAGCCAGTCAAGTCAATGCACCAAACCAATCAGTTGGCAGTTTAACTCAAAACTCTCACATGTTGGAATGCCAACTCATAAGCCTACTGCATACGAGGACAATCGTTAATGCTATACTTATGCTCCATTTTAGCTGGGTGAATAAATTCTTGCAAGCAATGCAACTGACATAAAAGTCAAAAACTTGTTAGAAGACTGGACAAGTAACGCCACTGTCACTTGTACGTTATTGTACATTATTGGTTGAAGCTCTGGCATCCAAATACATTTTTTTTTAATATGGGTACCTTACCATCTAGCTTTCAAGTAATCACTTAGGTTTTATACACAGATATCATGTGTCAATTTTAACAACATAGGTACTGTTCACTTAATTGAAATTTAGTAATTTATCTCAGCTATGCCAATGTTATCATTTTTTTTATTTTACTGTTTGTTTTTCTTGCTCTGTGTTTTATGTTATTCATTATTTGTAATACTATTTTTAGAATTATATTGACACTGTTCATTGTACGATGTAGCCTACATATTAAAATGAAATGTTTGAACATTAAATGTACATGTACTATCAGTTGTTACCGTTACATCGATGGTTGCGCCGCCAAAATTTTTTGTTGTCCAGCTAGGATGGAGCCTTTGTGGTAAAATTTCCTAACACAGGGTATGTGGGGCAGTTGGCCAAGCAGAGCTAACAGACACTGTAGTCTACTAGCTCTATTGTCTACACTTGTGTGCAAAGGGGATTTTGAACATCATTATTCGACGCACAAGTGGTGGTAGAGAGGTTAGAAGAGTTGAGCTCGAGTAACAAAAAAATCACCTGGACTCATCACTGTCTTTTAAAAAGTTTGAAAAAATAAGTTGGTGACAAAAACAAAATACTGTCCTAACTATCCGGTTTTCGAGGTACTATTCTAATAGGTACCTCATGCACTAAAAAAAACCTACTGCTGTTGTTTTATATTTGTCATGTTAAATACATTCTATGTTTGTTGTGGGTAGGAACTGGTATGTATACATTTTTCAAATTCATTTAGATCCTTAAACAATTTAACAACAAAGAATCATGTGTTATTTTACACTGTCATTGGTTTTGCAGGACCCACAAACAAAGTCGTCATACCGCCTGCTTCGGATAAACTATCTGCTAAAGCTGTACGTGAAAACCAGTCCAAGTCAGGAACTACTAGGAATGCTACGCGAGGGGAGAATTTAAAAACTTCAAAATCCATACCCTCGCTCCAAACCAAGTCCACTGAACAAGAAAATCAAGTCTCGAGAAAACGAGTTGCTACTGATCCAGAAGAAGTTGAACAAAAGAGAGCTTTTGATCAGAAAACGTCACAGCCCAAGCAGACGCGTACAATACCTAAAAGAAATCCAAGCTCTGACAAATCGAATGAATATTACAAGATATTCAAAGCCTTGGATATTGATTCCATGAAAAATTTGTTGATAGGCTTTGTTGTTGTCCGAGGTGTAACAAAAGATAGCACTTTATGCAACGACAAAGATGTTTTGGAATATTCCTTCAAGTATTCCAAATTCGGTCCATGTTCGTGGATTGAAAGTAAAAACAACACTAACCAAGGAATTGTGTAAGTATACATTTTTTCTGGTGTGCTATTTACCTTTTATCAACTGTCATTAAATATTTATCCATATATAGATTGGATACTTTGCTTACTTTGAGATCTAAATTTTACCAGTGCAATCCTAACAAAAGTTTAGAACACTTTTTGAAGGTTTGTAATGTAAAATTCCTGTATAAACTGTATTTCTATATTAGGCTTACAATGTTTGTTTTACAATTTCAGAAGGTTTAGGTTGAAAATTACAATAGTTGGCCCCACTTCTATATACAGTAAATATTTCTTGTCAACATTTGAAGTTTATAATAAGGTATAATTTACGATCCCATAAGTTTGCAAGTTACACATTTTTTCACTATCCATTATACCTTCTGCATAGATTCGTGGTAACTGAGGGATTAGGACGGTCGGGTGGTGTCCCAGCCCCTAAATTAGCCCTCGCTCGGCTGCTCTGGGTTTTGACCATGAGTTACCCACTAGGCTCAATGCATAGTTGGAAGAATTTTTGTATATCACCATAAAGTGTATTAAATAACGCCAATTTTGTAACCTGCGTCAAATAAGAAGAACATTGAGCCCAAACACGAAATAATTGCGGCGTTATTAAGTATACATTTTTACATAAGCATACAAGTTTTAGTGTCGTGGTATGCTTAATATCATCGCAATTATTTCGTGTTTGGGCTCAATGTTCTTGTTATTTGATGCAGGTTACAAAAATGACGTTATTTAATACACATTATGATGGTGATATACAAACATTTTACCAACTATGCATTGAGCCAGTGGGTGACTCATTGTCAAACCCCAGAGCAGTCGAGTGAGGGCTAATTAAGGGGCTGGGACACCACCCGACCGTCCTAATCCCTCAGCCGCCACGAATCTTTGCGGAAGGTATAAATACTATTGGAAATTGTAATTATGAATTCAATACTGTATGCAAAATTGGTCTTTAGTATTGTTGGAAAAAAGGTATTTCACTTGGGTAGTTTGTATACAATTAATTTTTCAATGGCTTTAGAAATGCATTTTATCAGATTTAAATTTGATTTTATTATTATTCTAAATTCTATGTAAGTTAAGCTGAATATCTCTATTTTTCTCTGCAAGGTGATGGTCTTACCTTCACATCCTAAGACACTAGGTTCTAGCCTGGAACTGTTTTACACACTTCAGGCTAGTCCTAGAGGTTTGCGGCATAATCACATACAACAAATCCATTGGTAATTAGCAGGATTTAAACCCAGGTCATCGGGATGCAAAGCCCAGTGCTCTACCACTAGACCAGCTCGCTCCTCAAGGTTGAATGGACGCGGCAGCAAGTGGGGGCTCGAAAGTTGACAACCGTGTCAAATCCATTTAGAGAATTTCGCTCTGCCATTCTACACATAGCGGTGTCACCGGGCGTGTCAGCTTACTTCACATCTATTTTGCAGTAGCGATAATTGGGTTTGGGTTTGGGTTGGATGTGATGTTCGATGCAGAGAAGTTTATTTGTTTATTACAAGACCAATGGTTATTCCAATTTTGAGATAAAGGCTAAAGTTGGAATGAAATTGGCAAAATGAATGTGAATGAATGTGTGACACAAGTAATACTTATAGTTCATCGAACGTCCCGACAGACTGGAAAACATTTCCTGATACCTCCGATGGTCACTAAACATGACATGGAACGTCCCTCTGGTAAGTCTGTTCGATAACGTCGGATGCGTCCACCATCGTTTCTGCTTACTTTCCTCCCTCAGAAGTTCGAATAGCTGGGGTTGGACAACCTCAGCTATACAACAACCTAGCTCCACTGTGTCCATCTCGTGTCTGAAGCGCTTCGTGTAGAATGATTCTACGGGTTTAATGCAGACTCAGAGCACTGGGGATCCAGCCACCCCCACACTCATACAACAGTGCGACCCCCACACTTAGTTGTACGTGCTTGTGGAGTTTGCACACATTGTTGGGGAGGTCACGCATCGGTCCCGTCACGAGACTCACGCTCGTGTAGAAAGGGCCATATGCCTAGTTTAAACAGTTAAAAATTTCCAGACCCATTACATATCAGCTAGGGAGGTTTTTGTTACACCCTCAGGAAACCCTGTCAGTACCGTCACAAAAGCTTTGCTTTATTTCAAATATAAAAAGAGGGTTTGTAATGTTGGACTGTTAACCTCCCAGCTTTCTGTGTCAGCCAGTTGCTTCACCATGGAATATTCCGTCAGCATGGCTCAGCGCTAAGCCGGCCAACGTTCTCGGAAAGTGTAACGCGCATGGCTGGAATTTGCTGATACAGCTAAGCAAGTCGCTCGATGAAATCAGTTAAGGCGCAGCTATAGTTTGCCTAATGCCCTGATGAATCGTTAGGCAGCAGCACTGTCCAGGGCTAGCACTGACGTCACGCGGCACAGCTGCAACACGATTGGCTGGTTCCCCTCCACGCCCAACTCTGGGCTATGGGCAGAGCGCACTCAGTTGAGTTAGTCTAAATTCTAAATTCGGCTCGGTCGGTCATCTAAATTAATTGTAGCCTTTTCCTCACTCTTCTAAAATGTATTTTAACATGAAAATCTGTAACTTAACTTTGTAAATCCAAGCGACTCATATCCAAATTGTATTCTTTCTTAATCGTCAGCTAGTATTGGTGACTATTAATAAGTATCGTGTTTGTAAACTAAACGTAGACTAATCACTCATCTTTCCTACAGCAAGTCGATAGCTAAATACTTTACTACTGTTTTTATCATAAGTAAATAAATTATTTATTCGTAGTGCATTTTTGTTGTTTCATTTGGTTACCTGTCACATAACTAATTCTAAAAAGGCTAGTAAAATCATCTATCACAAAAGTTATAACTGTCATAAAAAAAACAAAAATTTGTTTGATTTTTCCTTGCTGAGAAATGCGAAATTGACAACTTGTTAATATAATCTGCATTCTCGTAGCCTCCTCCACTAGTAGTGCCTGACATCTGTTCCTTTGAACTGCTCTGATGATGGCTGTCTGCAGCAAGGCCGAAACTTGAGTACTTCTGTAACACGGTTGTTCTCAGAAGACCTAGTTTGTAGTGTTATGGTAGTGCCCGTGGTAGCCTTAGCTTTTGTAAAAAAAAAATACATATGTGTATATTTGTTACTTACTGTTACAGGTTTTACAATCTAGGTTTCACTAAATGGAGCCTGCTGAAAACCGTTAGATCTAAACACTGCAGTACGGAAAGATAGTAAACATATGTTTCATGAGATTCTACAGTAACGGAATGACAGTTTAGAAAATACAAACATATGATGTTTGTAGAAATTTAAATAGTGACTACTTCAGTATTTAAACCCGATGATACTGTATAGTATTTTTAGGTCTAAAATGTTACCTCACTGTTTCAGAGGAGTAAAGCTTCAGTGGAGAGACAATGTTTTAGCAGAAGCGGAAGGTCAGAATCCAGAGTTTGTGAAGACTAAGTTGGCTGGGCGAGCGCTCGCTGCCTTAGAGGAGTTTTCTCCTGTAATAAAGGTAATAATCTCTACAACGCAAATACTTGAACATTTTTTGCATTTCTACGTTTTCTTTAAATTTATCATATACAGTATACTCTCTCTTAACTGACTCTCACAGCACCAGACCTAGGTTGAAAAACCTAAAAGGTGGGTTAAAACAGAGAACTATGTAAACATGTATGTATTTTATGTTATGTTAGGTTATGTATGCTATGTTATTTGTATGTATACTGAATGGTAGAGTTTAATAGAAAAAACACCAACAGTGAAATCTATTAGGCGAGCAGAAATAGTCCCAGCGAGAATGAATAAAGCGGAAACTAAGCTATTTTGCGTACTGTTTACAATGGCAATGATATCATTTCCATGCAGTGAAACTAATTCGTACCTTCAATATTTATTTTATAAGCTTAAGTTTAAGATAGATAGTTCATTGCTTAGAAAACCAACTAGGAGCTACATTCTAATAAAGTTTTATATTTTCTTTTATGCTTATTGTTTCTAGGCCGATGAAAAGTACTATAACAATGGGAAATGCAGAGAATTACCTCCGGAATCACCAAATGGACCTTGCTGGTAAATATTTACAGATAAGCCAAATTATGAACTACTGTAAGTCTTGTCATCCAGTAATTATGAGCATATTTAAATTAGAATAAAATCTCGAACCTTATCAACTTCAAACAAATTTGCCATGTAACATTCTCTGACGTGATGGAAATTTAAAAAAAATGCTTCAAACTTGGTACAAGAGAGTGAGCTTGAATGTGCTGTGAAAAAAAAAAACTTGGGGGATGATCAAGTTTTGGCTGCAATCATGGAGGATGATGATTATATTTTTGTTGTAGTGAGAGATATTCAGGGGTTTTGTGCTATTGAGGAAGACAATGATGTCTATACGGCCGCAGGAGATATTTTTGATTTTTATGCGGTCGCGGAAGCCGATAATGTCTATTCAACCGCAGGAGATAATTTTGATATTTGTGCGGTTGCGGAAGACGATGATGATGTACAAACACCGCGGGATAATCTAGATTTTGCCACAATCGTGGAGGACAGTAACTATATAATGGATATGTTTAAGATTTTGCCGCGATTGTTGATGATATCTCCGCTACAGAAAATGTTGTCTCAGACAGTGACGTAACCACAAGCATTGCTCATTGTGTGTTTGAGGGAGAGGGGGGCCTGACAACATCCGGCCCCAGGCATCAATAAACCACACAATGACCCTTATCAGCTGCAAAATACATTAACCCAAAATAAAATTGAGTGGAGCCCAAGAAAACTTCCTATTAGACCGCCTATATTTGTGAACTGACTGTAGTGGATTTACATTAGTGAATTGCTTTAGCTTAGTAGTTGTAAACCTCACCACTGGTTTCAGCACAAGTCAGCTGCAGTTTGTTAGCAGTTTTTATGATATCCAAGGCATTATTGGCCTTTGAGACAAAAAGAGTTTGACCTTTTATGAACCTATTTTGAAATGAGAGTTTTGATTGCAGGCATTACACAAGTATCTACACCTTCAACGTACTGAAAGGAATAATTAATACCTTCTCTTCGCTAAAGGATTATTCTGAAATAATAGTTCTGCATTTCCCAGAGGACGCCAGTGAATTTTACATGCAAGACATTATTCAGTAAGATATTTTTTTTCTAAAATATAATAAATAGCCTAGTTATAATTTAATTTTAACTTATTGGTCTATTATTTGTAGTTACTGCTATAACCAACACTAATGGATTTCTTATTGGATCATATCCAAGAATACAACATAATCATAATTGTTGTAAAATTAGAAGTCTGCAAGTATGATTTATATACAGACAAATTTTTAAATGAGAAATATAGTATATGTTACTTCTGCTCACCCCATGTTGAAAATGAATTGATCAAAAGTACTTTACTTAACGTAAAAGCTACATTGTGTTGTGTAATTAAGGAGTCTAATCAACTAGTAGCCAATTTTTTTTTATGAGCAAGAACATTTTACCATGGCCCTTTCAACGCTGTATCCCAATATTTTCTTTTATTGTTTGCAGATTTATTGAGAACGAGAGAGCCGACAAGTTGCAATATCGGTTAGCCGAGTTTTACTACCAAGGATATCCTCACTCTGCTATATGTTTCTCTTACAAGCACAATACACTGGACTTTTACCGGTGGCTTGATAAGAGGAAAGACCAGCGGTATTCAGTGAGATTCAAGAGAACTCATGAAGAGTGAGTTTCTATAATCTAGAATAATATTTTACTTCTTAAGTTGTTTTAAACGGGATTTATATTAGGATAGATATCTGCTGACAGTAATTTTGATTTTGGGGAGTTACTGTAATATCTCCCAAGGAAGATAATATTAGACTGACCATTCCAAAAATTAGGCCGAGAATCACGTTTGTCCCGTGTATCCCAATTTTTGGGATTCCCATAGACCTTTAATTCATATTTTTATAGTTGTAGCTTTGACTATCGATACAATTAGACATCCCATCCCCATGTTAAATTTGTAGCCAGATTTTTGATCAACATTGTTGTAGATTTTGTGAGCCACCGACAGATTGTGCTGATCTAAATTACTAATTTCTATGCGATTCACAAACTTTTTTACCAAGTCAAACTGATGGAATCTCTTATTGTGAGCTATAGCAAATGTTACGACCCATCAACTTGATAACTTTTAGACACTAGCACATTCTGGTTCACACAAATACATTCTTATTTCATAAAAAATGTGCGACAGCTTGTCCATATAGATGGGATATCTATTTCAGTATCCAATATTCAATGGTTCAGAAGGGTTTGCATGGAAGTGCTGGCCCTAGCGGAACAATATACAGCTGATGTTGAACTTATAAAGTTGATAAAAATTTTGCTCTTCAATTTTCAGTGATTATTAGTGAATAATTTTTAAATTAGCTTCCAAACAGTGTTTCAAAAAGATCTTTAAGAAGACAGGTTTTCTACAAATAAGTATTTTATACATTATACCTCTATATCATTAATAACTCTCACAACTTAAAATCATCTAACCTCAAATATTCATTTTATTTGTTTATAATACTGATTTCAAAATTTTTTTATTATGTAAACATTACCAATCTTTTTGTTCACATCTATTCCACAGTTTTAGGAATTGAACTATTTTAATATAATTTTTTTTTATTGGACCAATGAAGTAAAATGACTTTAACATTTAAAAGACAAAATGTACTAGGTGACGGCAATTGTCTTTTTAGATCTTTGAGTATATTCTTATTTCAATCTCAAAATCAGTTTAAAAAACTTAGGTTAAATACTGTCGAACATATGTATACAAACTGGAAAGAATATGAACGTTTTATCCTGTATGATGACCAAACTGAGATTGATAAAGAAAAATACTGCCAGGAAATGAAAAAAGATGGTACTTATGGAACTAGTGTTGAATGTATGGTTATATCTGACTTGTTTGAAATCAACATTAACATCTTTTATCAAGCTAAACATTTTAAAACTAGAATCATCCATTTGGAAAATAAACCAACAATAATATCAAGATCTTCTCATAAAATTACAGCGGACCTACTTTTAACCGGCCGTTTGGATTGTGGACATTTTGAACTTTTAATTCCAAATGAAAGTATAGTCAGCCAAATAAATCGAAAAGATAAAATATGTGATGAGATGATTACTAATAGTAAAATTTCTAAAAGCATTTCCAGAGAAGTGAAATTTAGGACCTCAAAAGTAAAAACTAAAGCCAAACCAACTCCAATTTCCGATAATACAAATAAAGCTGTATACAATGAATGCTATGACCACGGAATTGTTCAATTTCTTGTAACAGCAGACGATGTCAATCAAGATGATATGATTAAAGACAATTTTATGAACAAGTTATTTACCAGAGGATTCGGAGTTCCACTTCTTAACTCTGTAAGTTCTCAAGAAAACAATGAATGGCACAAACGGTGGCTTTGTGCAATGAAATTAAAAGGAAGACAATATACAATACCACAAGGTTCAATTGGAAGGCAATTTGTAGATGTTCTAGCCAAAGAGATCCAAGCAGTCCCTAATGGTATAAATTCAACCGAAAGAATATTTTTCTTATGTGCTACCATTCTTCAAAAAGATAAAATGATAAAAAATGGGTCTGACATAAGACGTTTGATGAAGAAAAGAATGGAAATGTGGGAAAATGATCAATTTGATGAATTAATACGTGAAGCTGAGAGATGTGATCGGCAAATGAAAACATCACAAGAACACCAAGAAGAAGACCAGAAAATAAGAATCTTCACAAGATTGGTATTACAAGGAAAATTGCGTGAAGCTACAAGATGGCTCACAGATCGCTCCGGCGATGGAGTACTCACACCTGACGATATCCTTCCTGATGGTCAAAATGTTTTTCAAGTTTTAAAAAATAAGCACCCACGTCAAATGGTTCCGAATGACAATACCTTTCTAGCTGATGAGAACTTACCATTGATGGTAGATGTAGATATATCCAGTGACCACATAGAGAAGATGGCTAGACGTTTGCATGGAAGTGCTGGCCCTAGCGGAACAAATGCTGATCAATGGAAGAATATGTTGCTGCGCTATGGAGCACATAGCACTCGTTTAAGGGAAGCAGTCGCATCGTTAACTCGATGGATGGCAAACGGGATAGTAAACTGGAACTCGATCAGAGCTCTGTTAGCTAGAAGAGGATTAGCACTGAACAAATACCCTGGTATTCGCCCAATAGGAGTTGGAGAAGTTTTGCAGAGACTATGTGCAAAAACCATGGCTTTTGTAACAGGTGACGATGTTCAAGAAATATGTGGATCTGACCAACTCTGCGCCGGAACGAAAGCTGGAATAGAAGGTGCTATACATGCTATGACGGACCTATTCAATGAAAAGAACCAAAATTGTATTTTACTTGTAGATGCTTCAAATGCGTTCAATGCCTTGAGCAGGCCTTTAACTCTGTGGAATGCTAGGGTGCTTTGGCCTCGTTGCGCTCGTTTCCTATTCAATACATACCAAGGCTATGCAACCATTATGTTTAGAGGAAGCAATAAAATCATCCTTAGTCAAGAAGGGACCACTCAGGGAGACCCTTTAGGCATGCTAATGTATGCAATTGGCATATTACCTTTGGTAAAAAACTAAAAAGCCTAAATTGGAAGCAAAACTGGTACGCTGATGATTCTGCATGTTTCGGTGAAATACTTAAAGTTAGAGAATGGTTTAACGCTTTACGTGTTGAAGGGCCAAAATGGGGGTATTACCCAGAACCCAAGAAAAGTGTATTGATAGTAAAACCTGAATATAAAGAAAAAGCAGAAGAAATTTTCAGAGACCTACAAGTGAAAATTGTAACATCGTACAGGTTTTTAGGGGGTATTATTGGTAGCTCAGAAGAAAAGAAGGAATTCGTGAAAGAAAAAGTAAAAAAATGGGTTGATTGTATAAAGAAATTTGGCATAGCTGCACATAAAAGTCCTCAAGCAGCGTATACTGCCTTTACTAAGTCATTACAAAATGAATGGGCATTTCTCCAAAGAGTAACAGAGGGATTTAGTGAAGAATACGAAGATTTAAAAACTGCCATACATCACCATTTCACTCCCAACCTTTTCGAACAAGAGATTTCTGAACTTGAACATGACTTGTTCTCTCTCCCTACTCGTTTTGGAGGCTTAAATATTCAGGACCCGACAAAGAACGATGGTATTTCATTTGAAGCATCAAAACAATGCACAGAAAAATTAATATTAGCCATTAAAAATGGACAACCATTAAAGATTAATGATCATGTATCAACACTACAAGATGTAATAAAGAAGAGAAAACTAGAAAAAGATATGTTGGCTAAAGCAAATAATGAACAAATTATGGAATTACTTCCTGAAAGTCAAAAGAAGCCAATAATTAGAATTGTAGCAGGGAATACTAGCCAATGGTTAACTGTGACACCATGTGCATCTGATCATACGGATTTGTCCCCGGATCAATTCAGAGATGCTTTGTCAATTCGCTATGGCCGCACACTAAGAAATTTACCAGTACGATGTGATGGTTGTGATCAACCTATGAATCTAACACATGCATTAAATTGTAAAAAAGGAGGATTGATCAAACATGGGCATGATCAACATCGAGACCACTGTGCTGCAATAGCAAATATGGCCTGGAAAGGGGTTGAAGTCGAGCCTATTATGAGAGAAGCTGACCCTGCAAACAATGTGCCTGCTTTAAAAGCTGATTTTAAAGTTAATGGTATTTGGGAGGCTGAGAGAGTAGCGTTTTTTGATAATCGCATTGTTAATGCTGACGCTCCCTCTTACGCCAACCAAGAATGGGGAACAATATCTCGAAACCATGCCGTTCAGAAACACAATAAATATGACAAAGCAGCCGAAGACATCAGAGGAAGCTTCACACCATTAATATGTTCCACGGAAGGAGTCCCCCACAAAGAATATGAAGCGTTTCAGAGGAGAACAAGCGAAGCCCTGGCTGTAAAATGGAGAAAACCATACTCCCAAATTATCGGATGGTTGAGGATCCAAAGCCAGCTTTCCATCATTCGAGCAGTTTCGCTAAGGCTACGGGGAACTAGACGAAAAATTCGAAGCATTCAATTTGAAGATGGTGCTGCAATTCCCCCATTGCTCTATTGAGCTTTCATTTTATTTTATTTTTTTTAAACATTTATATTTGATTGAAAATCATAGTCATATGTTGAAATGTTTGAAATGTATAAATAAAGTTTTATTGTATTCTTTAAAAATATTCAATGGTTGTAGACTGCACAAAAAAGGTCAAATAAATTGGCTGTTAATAAAAACTACTGTTTTGCATATGATTCAGACATCATTGCATCATCTCCTATCAGACCATTTTCTTGTGCTATACTCTAGTTGAGTACTCTACTTTGGAAATACAGTTTTTGGATTAGTGTTTGGTCATTATATTCTTACATATTTTATAACTTAATCATATTTCTAAAAATAAGAATGTTAAAATTAAAACTGGTGATTGGGCTGATTCCAGAATTGGTCGATTCCGATACCGATTCCGATTCCAGAACTTTGGTTACAATTCTCGATTCCGCACTCGATACCGATACCTGTTATAAATTAATTTAATAACACATATATATGTGTGCTTCTCGCAATCCATATAAAGGAGCATGTTATTTCTATTTAATCTTAATACAAACATAACAGCATTTCTATTGAATAAGGTTACATAGATTATGTTAGCCTATAAGGAAAATAAGATACTTCATCTTGTGTATTGCCTTCCGGATTACTTCATGAATGTATACAAGAGGTTAAGTTACCTTGATTCTGCACAAATGACGACTTAAGGATTACTTGGACAGAATCAAGGTAACTTAACCTCTTGTATACAAATAAGATACTTCAAGAAGACATTCATTTTAACATATTTTTTTAACATCACCTATTATTAAATTGAAACAACAAACACCGGTTTAGTTAAGCCTACAACTTTCACTGAGTTTTTTGTTTGCATAAATATTCATACATCTGGGCATACATTGAATGTTCCATATTGCTTGAGTTATAAACTCAAAGTCGTCTTCAATATTGTCATAATCAATATCACTTAAATTACTTAAAGAATCACATAAAAGTCATGGAGTTTATCACATCACTTGAACGGAGATCATAACCCATTTTTGAACAATTCACTATGCACCACTCATAGTAATCAACAACAAAACATAAACAATAAAACAATTCACCATTTGTAAACTCACGACAGCTGTTTCAGATCAGTCAGAGAGAAACAACATAAAAAAGAGATATAATCATAAAATTCATTGCTAAACGGCCGACTCCAATAGTCACCATGAAGCCCTGAATTAGCTGAACAGTTGGTATAAGTAAACTTGGGCATTGATCACGCATAAAAATAACGAACAAAGCTTAGTGCCTACAAACTCGCCAGATTTTGGGTGGACGACACTTTAGGTGGGGAGGGTTAAAGGATCAACCATTGATTATTTATACTCACTAAGTGTTTTGTTTTGTTACAATCCTTTTGAAACACCTCTTAAATGAACCCATGTTTTATTTTTTTAGTGAATTCAAGAAACGAGCAGACATTCCGATACCAAAAGAGACTGCAGGTAAAACTTGAAGACTCTTGGCATGTTTTTAACTGTAGATCAGTAGAGTCAATTTGGTTTGCTCAAAACTATATTGTTAAATATCTTATCCATATATAATTTTTAAATTCATTATATTTATTATTTAATGTGGTGTAAATTGCAAATAGGATAGCCTTCTTTAAGGCAGCGGCGTTGGTGTGTAGCAACGTCTCACCGACCAGCCTGTTTCCTTTACTTTTACTTTTTATATACTTTTCATTGAAATGGCGACCATACAAAGTAGGCATTTTAAGCCAAGTATGAATGGAGATGAGTGTAAGATGAGTGGCGCGATCTTGTAGTCTTGTTAGTGACTAAGGCCGACATATTCCTTAGACACAGCTGTTAATTAATAGCCCATACAGCTAATGTAAACTAAGGGACCTACAGTTTATAGTGGAATCCAAACCACATTTTTAAATTAACGAATTGGTCTAATTATCAAGATAGTACTGCGGATAGTGGTAGTAGTACTCACTAGTGCGGACGTTAATCTACACCAGGGAGTATCGCATCCTCAGTGCATGCCTATAAATATCCACAATTTGTGGCCTCCTAGTTGCTGGATTACAGGACGACGCCACCGTCCCAGTCATTGTAATAACAGTAATACAAACGTATAAACATAAACTTTAGGGAGACATTCCATTACAAATCAGTGCAACAGCTGTTTCAGTTTGCCAAGACAGGGTGTTGTCACTTTTGTCTCACCATGGCCTTGTATTAGAGGAGGATATACAAACTACATATATCAATTCATTTATTAAAAAAAAGTAAGTATTCAAATTCAAGTTATTATGAAAGAAATTGAAGTAAATTGAATGATACAAAAACATTGCCATTTGTAAAAAAAAAAATGTTTACTACCGTGGTCAAATTAATTTGCTAACAATAATAAAATCATCACCAAATGTAAGTGTTGCAAAGATTGATTGAGTGACTTCTTCGGGTTTTTAAGAGTCCTTGGAGCCTAGCCGTGCTAACTCATAAAACAATTTTATCAAACTACAACAAAATGTCTGAACTCGTAGTACCCTGAATATTTGAGTTACAATCATTTTGGTATTTGAACAAATTTTTTGGGATGATAAATAACTCTTCAGCAGCTGTTTAAAATTAATCCAAGATGGCCACTAGCCTCCAAGGACTCTTAATAGGGACAACCAGAATGAAACAGTGTCTATATAGTGTTCTCAGTTAATTACAATGTATATGCGAACAAATTGCTTTTGATTTTTCTAAGTGAACGATATATGTAATTTCTTTTTAGATATTGCAAACGGAGATAAAATCCAAGGCAAACCAAATACAAATAATGACGTCAAAACAAACGTAGGCGCAAGAAGCAATCTCCACTCCAGTGCAACAAACTCCTTGTAAGTGAAAAAAATAATCATTTAGTGTGTTCTGGGAACATTGAACATTCACTGGTTAAACCATTGTACTCAGAACAACAGTATACATATGTAATTCAAGGAGACAGAAGAGTATTCCTAACTACTCCCGATTTATTTTGCACTCGTACAAGTTTTATATACCAATAAAACACGACAGTCTTTTTAACCAGTCGCTTTTAGTTGGCCGATCCCTTATATTCTTCTGTAAAATGGCAAGTGATTGGAGATGAAGAGTAACCTAAAGTAAAAAAAAATACCATTTTTATTTATAATTGAAATCAGGTGTTTAACAATCTAAATGTAAACACTAAACATGTTTTCGGTAGGCCTACTTGTTTTTTAGTGATGAAAAGAATTGTTCATAATTTTTACCAAAAGTGATTTTCTGGTTCCTGCACAGATTATTCCCATCCTCGGCTTTGTGCAACGCACTCTAACTAGCTTGGATTTGCCTTGCATGTGAATTTTGGTGTTTGTGTGTTTGGCTTCGCCTCGGACATGAAAATTGAGTGTGCACCAGATAATGCCCCTTTCAGTGCTTGAAATAATATCAAATCAAATAAAATACCTTTATTCAAGCTGTACATACATACATGAATAGAGTCACAGAAACAAAACACTAACAAGTACATTATGTTTCTTATTTACATGATTTTATTTACATACATTGCTAAATCTATGCAATACAATCCTTTATTAATGGTGTGTATTTGATATAAATTTGGTTTTAAAAATTATTTTTACTCTTTTGGTTGATTACATAACAAAATCAATTTTTAAGAGTAATTATTTTATATATAGGCTATATTTATTTAATTTATATTTATTTTTTATATAGGCTACTTTACAATCCCGTAACGATAATCCTCATGTTGACAAACAAAAGGCCTGATCTTTGATCTGTTGTAAAATTTAAAAATCTTTTATTCTTTTATCACCTCAATCAATAATTGAACTATGACGAGGAAAGATTTTTTTGTATCATTTGGATTTTGTCTTTTTGTAACAGATCTAACAATCAATCAGTATCCAGCGGAAGTTGTCTGGACACAGCCAAACCAAAACTACCAACTGCCTTGCCTTCACTTAACGTCAATTCTACAAAAAGTAAGTTATGGCGCATTTTATTAAAGGTTAAATACATTTACAGTGAGAACTACTTTTTTTCTACTTGTCACTACCTCTTATTTTAACACTAGTAGCTTCACTCAAGCTATGCATGCAACAATGAAAAGATCAAATCAGCACTTTTAAAATATTTTTAAAATTTAGTAACTCCCAGACAGTTACTTGACTATAGAAAGTGATTTACTATCAATGATCATTGACATAACTTTTAGGTTATTTTATTCCTTTGAATCAGCAGTATGTAGATTTTAATCTGGTTACTCATGAGGTTACAGTAAATACCAGCTTTCAGTTGGGTTTTGTCAAGTTTTGCTCGCATCACTTGTTAATCCTTGGTGTTCTAAAGGTTGATTTTTTTTACATAAAAAATGTATTTATTTTATTTGTTGCATTTTTTAGACACAAGAGATGGTTTATCTTGGATGGGGAAGGAACACCTCTCGCAGTTGGCAAAGTCAATCTACCTAGTCAAGATGATAAAAGAAGACAGCACCACTGAAACCAACCCTTTCAATCTGCTCAGGACTACATGCTCTTTGGCTTACAATATTGATTTTAAATATATCATGAAACCTTGTGAAGGGTAAGTTATTAAATTGTAATTATGTTTAAACTATTTTTACCGCACAGTTTATAGTATGACAAAAAACTAAACAAAATAATGACTCCAAACAAATGTATATTGAGTAGGTACTATATAATAATGTTTTATGAGACAGTCCAAAGGCAGGTTTTATTAGCAAAAACCTTTCGGTTATGTACCTAGTGAATATCAACATAAAGTGTTATGGAATACCTAGGCTTCCCATAACACGAGGATAAAATAAACCTTGTTTCAAAAGTTTATAGGCCTAATGTTAAAAAGTACACCTCAATTTCATTTTTTATTACAGATTTATTAAGCTTGCTTCGTTAGTTTACTAGGTAGCTTACTCTGGTAGTCACACTGTACCTGGATGCAATCAACATTTCGTGGGAAAAAAGAGCCAATGTTAAAATGTCCGTACCGGTACTTTAGTACCATCTAAGCCTAATGGAAACATTTGTGTATCTGTTGCGATCACAGCAATATCGTAACATCTCCACTAATATAGTAGCCTACTTCACTACTTATAATTATATGGATAACATTGATTTAATTTGGTTTTCGTATTTGCAGTGGTTCGTGGAAAGTGTTAGTGGTGTTGGTTTCCGAAGCAGGCAATATTCTGGTAGGTGAGGCTACATCAACAAACTGCGCTGAGGCTAGACAGGCTGCTTCAACAGATGCAGTCAACACCATCCAATCTTGCTGTAGGCTCGTTGAGGTAGTAAACAATACATCTGATCTGTATCGATTGACAATTGTGGGACTGAGCTATTAATTTGCCCACACAAACCCTTATTTTCTTGTTTTGTTTAAAAGTGTGTATTAATATTCATAGATCGTTTGAAGCATAGAACTTGCAGATATTCTACAAGTTTATATTAGGGCCGCAAAAATTGCTGAAATTTTAAAATGTCTATTTTTTGTAGTTTGTTTCGTTATTCTTGGCGATATGGGATTTATCAAGGATGATTTGGAATATCATGAATGTTAGCCCAAAACAGTTTTGGCAAGTTTCAGCCATTGCGAATACTATCGGCAATTGGGAAACTGGAAACGTGTTGCAGCTCCACAAGCCACCATAATCTTACAATTCAGTTTTTTTTGTCACAGTGGTATTGCATACTTTCATTTCTTCATTGTGTTCAATGGCTTAGTCATAGCATGGAATGTGTAGCCTGATTGTTCTGCTGACAAGAGGTGTCAGCGCTCTGTGTGATGTGTATGACCACCGAACCAAGGGGCGTGGGTAAGTCAGTCGGATAAGAAGAGCGCGAAGGGTGTAGATTGGGAATTTGCGGTCATGTTTTTACGCTACCTTTCCCTCCCTATGGTTGTCCACGAGATTGATATGTTTTTTTCAAATTCTATTAGGAAACATTTATTTAGTAGAGTACAAGTGGTAAATTATTCCGAATTAATTCTTTCAAACAATAAACCAAGCTTTTAAATCCCAACTAACCTTCCTTTATTGAAGGTTCTGCCCCTGTGTAGGCCTAAGGTAGTCACACTTAGTCTAATGAAATTGAGGGAGTAGCAGATCTTTTCTGTCCTTAGGCATTGAGCCTGAACCTTACCTGTAGGAAGGAAGTGTTCTACGTATATTGCGATAGCATATTAAATTTAAGAAAATAAAATTTCATGCTGCAGTAAACTGCCTTAGCACCTCTATTAAGACTGATAATTTAAGGCCTAAAATTCTAAAAAAAAAGGTTCATTTTTCACCATTTGTCAATATAAATTTACATAAAAAGATTTTTTTTATTGGGACTATTATTTGTTTTGCAGCCAAACTTCAATTACTTCGCAGAAGGAGGAGTACCTACATTCATCTCCCTCAGACATCCAACAAAAACACGAACTTATGAGTGAGTTTGGTTATAGATTTACTCTATTGTTAATAAATCGTAAACATAAAACAAAATCATGTATGGAGTTGTATGATTTTGTTGCTCAAAAGCTTTTTTTCCATCTGTTAAGCAGTGTTTACTTGAGGCCAGTGTAGCAGGCAGGTAACAGGGCAGGTTACTTGCCTCTAATGTATTTCATCATTTCATGTGACCTGAGGCAATTAACTTGTCCGCCAACTGGCCTCGTGTACACATGGCTTTACTAAAAGGTTTTAACCTATGAACTGAGCAAAATATTACCCAATCTCAATTCACAATTCACTACCGGATTTCTTGTTGCCTAATTGTGCATAGCCTATTGGTAACAACCAAAAAGAGTAAATCTCTTTTTTGGTACCAGTAAAATTGAGTAAATAAGTAGAAAAAACAAAAGAAGTTTGTTTATAATTTGTTTAAATGTTTTAGAATAATGAACATGGACACAAACAAGAATCCATTGAATGAACAGGTTGTCGGAATACTACTGAGGATGTTCGTGGAGGATAAGGGAACTGAAGATATATTTTTCCTGGCTTCCGACTTTACCAATCATGAAAGGGAGTGTATTCGCAAGTAAGAACCTTGTGTATTTGTGATTATTGTGTTTGTTTCTATTACACACTAGGCACCACTATTTTTTTAACTTAACAACAAAAAGAAGGACTAGTAATTTTATAAATTTAAAACTTAAATAATGGAGAAATGTTGTTACTCTATTTTTTACCAAGCATTCAACATATTTATATTAATAAGGGTTGCTTGTAAATTGAGAACACCAACAAGTTTGTATCACTACAAAGCGAGCTAGTTCAAATCTTACACTTCCTTTACGACTATTCTAAGTGGTTTTCACCTGTATGTGACGTTCAAAATCTATATTAAGATTAAGTTTTTGTGTGATGTTACATTACTTGTAGCTATACTAGGAGCGACCTTGTCTTGTGGTAGGACATAATGCTTCGTACCTAAGGGTCTTGGGTTGAAATCCCACCAATCACCAATAAGCCTTGCACTAGTTCAATTTGTTGTTAGACATAAAAAAAAAAATTGAATTTGAAACAATCTGTTCAGGATGACAAAGGAGTTTGACCTCGGCTGGCGTCTGTTTGGTATGCGTGATAAATCTGCGGCTCCAGGAGAAGTGTCCAATCAGCATCTGTGTGTGTTTCGACTTAAAAGGCCTGTGGAACTGGTAACACAGCTGATTGCCAGTGGAGGATCTACAGACAAGTATTCCATCGTCACCAGAGTCAACACCATCATTCCTCAGCCAGAGGTGTGTGATTTGCTACTCAGATTCAGTATCAAAATGTACAAATTCATCCTTTTCGTGTGTTGGTGATTACAGCTGCTGAAAATCCCTGATCTTTCGGAATCTCCGTCATTTCAGTTGGGTCCTGAATGCTCCTGAAAATCCATTTTATTTGTCATTCAATGTAAATGTTTTTTTTTCACTCGGGAATTTATTGGTGTCTTAAAATTTGAGGCTTATCTGGGTTTATTGTTTTAAGTTTTTGCATACGTGAGACTGGAGCGGATATTGTTAGCTGCCGATTTGTTTGTTGAATAAGGCTGCGGAATGTGAATATCGTGCAAGTCTTTGTGTTTCTACGCTCTGAGTTTACCTTGCCAAACTCATCTGGTAGGAAAGCACCTGTACATGACCCTTTTGTGTTCAGTTGAAATAAAATGTAGCTGTATTCAGCTGTTAAGTAAACCCTCCCTCAGAGGTTACTGGGAGTTGTGCTGTTAACTAATTTCATTTTGCTGTGGACTGCAATTTTCAATGTAAACAAACTAACTTTTTTTAGCTGACGATAGTGTCTTGTAAATATTTAACATACTTTACTACAAAAAGGTAAACCTTACTAAATTAGTAAATTCCCCCCCCCCCCTTTTACTAAGCTATTAATATTTTACTGAAAAACACACTGTATTACACTCCCTAAAGTAGCAAACCTTAGTACGAAACCTAATGTTAAAGAATAAATATAACATGTGTAAGGAAATATTAATTTAAGTGGAATTCCAATCAGGCAAATGGAAATTCGCTTAGTCAGCAGGTTTGCTGCGTATTTGCTGGGGTAATTTGTTGTTCTTGTATAATTTGAAGTGTTGTCTATTTTTTTATTATTTTTTAATGTAAATTTTTACTCCTGCAGAGCCCACCAGAAGAAGTGCCAACAACTGCTCAGCCCAAGGAAGTCTGTGATAGTGAGAGTTTTTTGGGAGGCTGCATCGACCCCAAGTGCTCTCTAGATCATATCAACATCTTGGACTACATTGTCAATAAGTACTTGGAGATCCGTTAACTTTGTGACTAAAGAGAAACTGTGAACTGTAACTTGTAACTTTGTGAAGACTGATAAACTAAACGTTAAAACAGTTATAGTTGACTTCAACACTTAAAAATGTCTGCCACACAAACAGTTAGCGGTTCAAACTTTTGATTTAGTTTGTTAGTCCAAAACTTAATTGAGTTTTCAACTTAATTTAAATTTGTCTTCGAATTACTCACTGGATAAGTCCTATAATAGGACAGGACATAGTAAAAATTTTAATTTGCAACTTTTTATTGTGTATTTATTAGCCCTTAGTTTCTGTATATATTTAAGCAACTATTGTAAAAATAATTAAATTATATGTGATTTTTGTAAAGTCTACATTTTTTCTATTACTAACCTGTGTAATGTGTATACCTTTGTTACCTAATTATCTTTAACTACATACTCTAATTATTTTGAATAAAATTTCATAAGAATTATTTTTTTAGTGTTTAACTACACAACGGCAAGAAGATGATATAGTAAAATATAGTTTTGTGGTTGTATTTTGCTTCCCCTCTTACTGTATTTATTACATAGAATTAATTGCTTAACTATACCATGTGTGTAAAATTATACCATGTGTTTCCTCTTATTGTTGATAATATGAGGCTTACAGCTATTTACAAACAAATACTGATAGATGATGATTGAATAGTGAAAAACCCTTTGATAATTTCAAAATTTTAGTGAATTTTAACTTTTAAATACATTGGTAAGTATGTAACATATTGGAAATTAAGTCAAATATTAAGTTTTGTACTTGCTTGAATTTAAAATGGTGAAGCACTTAACCCTAGTAAAATGTATATCAGGGATTCATCTGTTTTGGTTACAAGTATTTTCTGAAGATTTAACTATGTGCAATTATTTGTTTAGAATAAATCATGGTGTTTTTCAATTCCACTGACATTTATTAATTTTTCTAATGGAATGGTCCAATATTTTGTAACTGGATGTAGAAAATCTAACAATAATAACCTTAAGTCAATTAATTGATGAATAAATTAAATTACAAATATATTTAGGTCCAGAATCGATATCTGATATTTTATTAGCTATTCTGCTATGCATGTCCGTTTAATTTTTCTTGTCTTAATCCGCCAATGTACGTTTTGTAACAACTAGAGGTTAAGGCCAATTTAGGCCTGTAGGGGAACCAGCTAATACCTTTTTATTGTAATACATTATTTATAATACAAGAAAAATATGGACCAAGTCAATTATAGAACCTAAAGCTAAGCAAATAAAAGAGGACACCCTGATATTATATTATTACCGACCTTTTTGTAATTTCAAGATGGCAATTCAATTTCTAATCTATAAAAAACTAGTCTACAAATTTGAAAATTTGAAGCTCATCAGATGGTATTTTTTCAAACAGTTTTTTGTATACTGACGATTGTATGCTTTGGACTAATTTTCAACATAGCACACTGTATTTTGAGTCAAATAGTAAAAAAATATACAGGGTGTATATAAAGTCCTGCACAGGCTTAATATTTTCTAAACGACAACAGATACATCAATAAGATTTGGTACATCAACACCACACCTAAAAATCTACTTTTTTAAGGAACTATGAACTTTCTGTCATATCATGGGGACGTCCCGCAAGGAGTCAGAAGGAAATCTTAAATGGAAGCATAGGTCAATATGCACATCAAATGAAAGGTCTTTTTTAGTAGAATACAATGCCGCAAACCCCACTTCAAAAGGTTTTTTTTTTTAACAGAGGGCCAGGCTTACAAGTCACCATGGGATTGCATCGCAGCTAGAACAGCTCATTGTGCACCCTCGTTCACAGGTCCTCATTCTACGTCAAATCCCAGGTCCTTGGTGAACCATGAGAGCCTTTTGACTATGGTAACCTGTTCCCTTTGATCTCCCATCAATAGGCCAAGGGATCTCATACGCAGACCTTGTAGGGCTGGGCACATAAATATACCTTCACAGCTTTCACAAGGTCTCTGGCTGGGGCAAGCCGTAGCGAGATTTCCCTGAAAGGACTCGGCTCCTGAACTTACTTGACCAGCCAATCCTTTGTGGCTGCGTTAGCACAGCCTCCACCTTTCTTCCTGGAGGCTTCATTAGAGTCAGCTTTGGGGGTACCACCCTTGCCCTGCTTTTTCCCAGCATCCTAGTTCCAGGAGGAACTGGCTTTGCAGGGAGCAGAGTTAGGGTGCTTGGCAGCCCACAACAGCCTCCTCTCACTTCTGGATAGCATCTTTTCGCCTTTGGCTAAAGCATCCGCTATCCTCCGTCTTTGCAACTCGCCCCTGGAAAGTCGTTTTTCGTACGAGGGATCTCATACGCAGACCTTGTAGGGCTGGGCACATAAATATACCTTCACAGCTTTCACAAGGTCTCTGGCTGGGGCAAGCCATAGCGAGATTTCCCTGAATGGACTCAGCTCCTGAACTTGCTTGACCGGCCAACCCTTTGTGGCTGCGTCAGCACAGCCTCCACCTTTCTTCCTGGATGCTTCATTAGAGTCAGCTTTGGGGTACCACCCTTGTCCTGCTTTTTCCCAGCATCCTAGTTCCCGGAGGAACTGGCTTTGCAGGGAGCAGAGTTAGAGTGCTTGGCAGCCCACACCAGCCTCCTCTCACTTGTGGATAGCACCTTTTCGCCTTTGGCTAAAGCTTCCGCTATCCTCCATCTTTGCAACTCGCCCCTGGAAAGTAGTTTTTCGTTCCTTTCCAGTTTCTGCGAGCTTGTCGTCATCGTCAGATTTCAGGAGACCTTCCTCCTCCATTTGGGTCAGTTTGTCTACATTGTTCTCACGAATACCGGGTATCTAAGTCCACCTCCCCAGTGACCCGATTAGAGAGGTAAGGGGTGCGTACGACTGGGTTACCCCTGGTTCCCAGAAGGCTCCGTTCAAAAGGTTGATCATGCTCAAAATGGCAGCCGTTCAAAGATTTCTTGAATCTGCCATTTTGAATCTTTGAACGACTGCCATTTTTTACTCAGGTGTTCTTTTGAGCTTGAATTTACGGCATTGTAATCTAGTAGTGAAGACCTTTAATTTGATGTGCATATCGACCTATGCTTACGTTAACAACTTTCTTCCGTTTCCTAGGTTTGTGCCCCCTGAGGAGTAAGCGAATAATAGCAATGCAAATTAAATTAATCTTTGAACAACTGTCATTCTTGGCTCGGTTGTCCGTTTGAGTTCAAATTTGCGGCATTGAACTCTGCTAGCTAAGCCCTTTAAACTGATGTGCATATTGACCTATGCTCCTATTTAAGATTTCCTTCTGACTCCTTGCGAGACGTCCCCATGAAATGATAGAAAATTCATAGTTCCTTGAAAAAGTAGATTTTTAGGTGTGGTGTTGATGTACCAAATCTTATTGATTTATCTGTTGTCGTTTAGAAAATATTAAGCCTGTGCGGGACTTTATATAGGTACTGTACACCCTGTATTTCATCACTGACATGAATGTATTTTGTTTCAGAACATTTCAATATGCGAAGATTCATAGACCAGTTTGTTCGATCATTTTTAAAAGAAGTAAGTTTTTTATTTAGTTTTTTCAGATATTTTTTTTTGGCCAACTTTTTAATGCCATGTGAGCTGAACATTTATATTCCTTGGTGTTTCAGATTAAATTTAGTTGTACTTCAACTGAAAATTTAAATAAACTGATGGTACCGGTACTCGTTTCAGTGAGTTGAAATATCTCGGTCCGATAAACATGGTTTTCGTATCAGATCTCTGGTATAATTTTAAGCAAGATTTTCATTTTCTTTCAAATAAGTAAACCAAATAATTGAGTTTTCAAAACCAGCAAAGGATTATGAAAGCAAGTAATTTATTCATCACAGTACTCAATAATATTATGAGGCTGTAAATATAACTTGAGTTTAATATGGGGAAATCATGTTTCTCTAGTTGATAGCTCGAAAACTAAGAGAAATACGGATAAATTCTAAATTCGAAAGTTGCGTGGAAATGTAATATCTTTAAAATGGAATGCAATTTGAGATATAGCCTAATTTAGTTTTTTATGTTTTGGCTATCTAACTATACATTTTAGTTTTTTGTGATATGCAATATTACAGAAATATTGCTTAACTCATGAATATGAAGTTTTAATCAGAGATATAAGTTTTTGCAAAAAAAATAGAGTAGGCAACTTAAATATGAATCTTTTGACAAAAAAGCTATCATTTTTAAACAAATTAAAACAGTCAGGATTTTTTATTTTACCTACCTAAATTGCTAGGTTAAAAATATCTTTAAAATTATGTAACCTATTTTACGACATATGTTTGTATTTGACACTCGTGAGATTCAAACTAGAGAACCGCTGTTTTTTTTTTTACATACTGTACTACTGCACTCAAAATATGTTTTAAATATTTTTATGTGTTCCTTGGGGTTTAGTGGAAACAGTATATTACGTTACTAGTTCAGAAAAATCTGTGTTTGCATATGAGTACTAACAGTAAACACATTTTGGATGAGTGACATATATTTTTTGCTTTACTACTAAGCTAAACCAAATAGCAATTAACAATTTTAAAAACTTTCAATATTTGTTATGTCCGCACTATCCCACAGACTTAATCACTTATATAACTACCTACTTCTCAGAGCTATGTTTTCATTATAACCAACCAATATTCAACAAAAAATGTTTATTTCATCATTGTCGTATAGTTTGGCCAAAGTTTCTGTACGCACGACCAGATCTGGTTGGGTCTAGGCAAGGTGGTTGGCAGGGGTACTTTTGTGAAAACATTTGGATTTTGCTACTCTCTCCTCTAACCCCAGCACTGCCAATAACCGGTACCCGTATGATTTAGTTTGGTTAGTAGCGACCCGTCCGTGCACACATAAGTTTTGGCCGAACTGTACCAACGGTCTGTCAGAAATCAGTACTCGACACCCTACTAGATTCAACCTGTATATGTTAGTCAATAGCAATACATTTTTAAAGACAATTTTACCTTTTTTTAGGCCTCAAAAGCAAAACCAAAGCCACAGAATAAGAGTAAATCCAGTGGTGTTTCAACGCCACAAAAATCACCAATAAAAACTGAAATTTCGTCCACTAACCTGTATGACGAGGTAAATGTGATATTTTTTTCATTACTGATACCATTTCAAGAACTTTGTACTAAAATTCGCAATCATTAGATAAGGGCATGCTGACTATTTCTTTGTTATACACACTTGTATGGAATCAACATGTTATTAAGTAATACCTCAATTAGTATCCTAACTATTTGGTTGTGATTTTTGTTGAACTCTAGAGACAGAAACGAGTTCATTTTCAAACATAGTGACGATTTACAATATCGAAAGTGTTCAAAGCATTTCAAATCTTGGCTTAAAATACTTTTCATCGTGATAAAAACAATTAAATTGTGTACACAGTTAAACACTTTAAGACCATCAACACTTGAAAGACTTTAAATATTGTGAAATTCTTCTATATTATTATCACATTTTTCATACATTGTGCAGGGTAAAATAGCGCTTCTGAAAATAGCCTGAAAATTCAGGTAGATGCCTGAAAAGAGCCCATGCTCTTTCTAGAACCTTTACAGCGGGTCGTCAAAGGAGATAGTAACAATAACACCCTAACACAGTTGAAATGCATGAGGAAAACAAAATTGATTTGAAACTATGACACATGGTTAAGCCTGATTTTTCATTTAAAACTTAGATTGAAAATAGCGTATTGTGCTAAATTGGATAAATTAGTTTTAAAGTCTTACCTGTTAGGCCTACTCCTGTGTGCTCCAATCATAATATACAATATGACTAATATTTGCAGTAAACTTCAATCAATTTACGTTTACATGGGGGGACATTTAATTTACATTATTACCTCAAACAACAAAGTAATGACTAATAAGACCAACAAATGATTTTCAGTTGTCTTTTATTTAATCCAATATTTTCTTTCACTACCGACATCCGATAAGACTTATGGAGTTAAAAGAGAGACTGCAGATTATGTAAAATTTAGAGGAAAATAATGATGGCACAAGGTGGGGTGGCTGCCGGTCACATTCCAGAGAGTCGCAAAGTACCATGAGTTAGCATCCTGCTCTGGTACCGGTGGAGACCCGGGCTCTTTTATGGTGCTCCGGGGTAGGTAGGGGTAAAAGGGGGAAAATAACTACCTTTTAATTCACTACAAAACTTTCAATGAGGTTGACTTTCTAATGTACATTAAATGTTCTTTTTCTAGTTACAAGAAACTGATCATTCAAGACAATCTTTAGATTTGAGAAAAACATACAGATTACTAATGGATCGATTGGCTAGTCCAAAACTGAATATGACGTCATACACAAAAGCCCTGAGTGACATAAACATTTTAGATTCAAAAGTTAAAGAGAAACCTTTAGAGCCTAATAAGTTACCCTTTGAGAATCAAGAACAACTAAAACATTCAGAAGAAACATCTGCAGATTTATATGAACGCAATGTTAAAGAGATTCTAGAAGAATCCTCAATAGGCTGGTCCAAGCAACCAACAAGTAAACTTGCAGCAATCCCGATGATAGAGACTCCAACAAAGTCTAAAAACATTACTTCGTCATCAATTGAATTTCCAGAGGTTGGAAACAAATCCAAGAAAAAAGTACAAGTGGACGACATTTTTGAGCAAAAATTAAAACCGATAGTGAAAGATCAGAATGGTTTAGAAAAAAAGAACATTGATACATTAGAGAATGTTGTTCCTGAAAAACCTGGTTTTCCAGCCTCTGTGAAAACAAAAGTTAAAAGTAACAAAATCAATTCAAACCAAACCAGTCAAGATTCTGAGAGATGCATGGAACCTGTAGCAAACAATGTTGATTGTAAGTTGCTCTTTAAAAATCCAAACAAAAAATTTTCACCAGAAGATAATAAAAGTCGCTTATTTCGATTGTATATGGATTTAAATAATCATTCAAAGATTATTGAAAAACCAAAAAGTGCATTCAATGTCAATGAGAGTATGACACAAAATAATGAAAATAATGTTAGAAATGTTGATGAAATATCGAAGTTCAACACTCAAGTTTCGAAAGGGAAAGCAGTTGAGACTTTGGAGGTTGTAAAAGATAACATACAAAATGAATCAGTTTTAAAATTTGTTGATAAAAAGCAAAACAAAAATACTTGTGATGAGTCTACATGTTGTGCAGTGTGTAGTGAAAATGTGTTAACTGATTCTCTAACAAAAGACTTGAACCAGTCTCCAAGGGTTGACACTTCAGTCAAAATCATCAATGATGCAATACAGAATCTTTACAGCAAGTTTGAAAATAGTTTATCTAGAAATAAATCAACCAAAGAAGTTAATGAACGATTTGAGGTGGTTTCCAGTGAAAACTCAAAGAATGATAGTATTGAAACTGGAGAAAAAGAACCACAGACGATTCCTACTAATATTGAAAAGACTGTTTGTGATGCAGAAGAATTGTGCAACAAAGATAATGTTACAGCAGAAAACGAGGTTGAGCCATTAACAAAAAGTGATGTAACTGACAAACTCGAGATGAATTATGATACATTCTCTAATGGTCCATCCAAAGAACTTTTGAATACAAAATGTGACAACAGAAACCAGCAAAATAATACTCAGGTTAGTTCAAACACAATCAAAAATGGTAGTGCTGACGGATCAACTAACTATTTCTTTAAAAGAAAAGTGTTAAACTCAAAAAATTCAAATTCAAGCCTTCACAAATACAATGCCGTAAATAATATAATAAAAACCCATGGAGGTAAGATCAAGAAAAATTCATTTCGTAAAGTTTGGGGAAACAAACAAAAATCACTTGTAAGAAAAGTAAAAAGACTGAAGAGAACAAACTTAGATAATGTCACAAATCATAAGCCTTCAGATAACACTCTTGAGGAACCAAATGTACTCTCAATGTCTGGATATAATTCAAATATTTTTAAGCAAATAAGTAAAACAGCGAAAAAAGATCCAAACGAGGCAAGGATAAAATTGGCTACTCCTTCCAAGATACCAAAGTCACCAAAAAAAGTTAAACTAAACAGAATCAGCTCTAACATTTTTCCTGCTGAAAATGGACAACATTTTAATCCCAAAACCACAATAGATACTAAATCAAGTGTGCCTAAAAAGTCAAAAGGGATAGATCAAAGCCCTGCAAAAGTCAAAACTGAATTTGATCTGACTAAGGTGCGTAAACTTCATTCTAAAAAAGACTTTTGTAAGCCTCTACAACTTCAGATGTATGGCGGAAGAAGAGGAATTCACATTCAATCACTGAACACAACAAAATCTGCACATGACACTTTGGCACCTCACATTGATGAAGGTTCTACTGAGCCAAATTTGACTACAAAGAGTCTTATGACAATTTGTAAGCTAAACATATGTCCAATAAATATACAAGTGAGGAATATTTACACATCGAGATATCGAAGTAAGGGGGGACAGCGATTGCGTAAGAAATATACTAAAACCGTAAATGAAGACAACATTAAGGGAAAGTCTGAGGAGCTAGTTTGTAACAATGACAAAACTGCTGAAACTTTGTCAAAGAGTGTTGCGCTGAAAAGCGGTCCAGTTGAAAAGCTAGTAAAAAATCTGAATGTCTCATCAAAAGAAGAACTTATTCAGAAGGGTTTTGAGAAGGCCATGGAGTCGAGTGAAGATTTAAAGCAGGAAACAAAAACCAAATCTAAAACCAATAACACTTTGTTAAAAGATTCCTGCAACTCTTTAAGTGACTTGAAATCTGCGATGGGTAGCTCTAAGTTGATAAACAACAATTCAAAAGAATGTTTGAATGAAGTTTCAAATAATTGTACGGAAAATGACATTTCAGATTTGAATATTTTTCCACAACAATCAGCTGAAAAAAGAATAGAAAGCCCTGATGTTAATTTGAACACAAATTCAAAAGACTTGCAAGTGTCCCAAGAAAATGAAGTTTTGAAAGATTCCCCTAAGTGGAAATCTAAAGTAGATAGATTAGAAAAATGGAAGATGGAAGTCAAAAAAGAAGAAAATGTTGAATTGGTAGGAAGATTAACCAAAGTTAGTGAAAAGTACTCTTTAGCTGATTGCAATAAAGACAGTAAAGAAGACAAAGATATAGCTTTGTGCAATAAGAGATGTGAAAAAGATATTTTATCTCAAGAACAACCAATAAAGAATTCAGAAACTGATGCATTTAACATTAAAGACCATGGAAGTGTAAGTTCAATTAATAAATTATCTGAGAAAAGTGAAAACAAAATTCCAATCTTAATAAAACCAAATCCCAGTATTAAAGAAGTTACAAAAGGTCATCTTAAAGAGGACCATCTCTCTAAAAGTGAAGAAGCAAATATAAAATCTACACAAGGCCAAGCAAACAAGCTTCTACAAAATTTTGCTCACAATGAGCGCAGCAAAATAGATGAAAATAGTAAAATCGAAATAAATGAGAAAGAAGAAAAGGGTAATCAAATCAACACATTTAAAAGTATTACAGGAACTATGGTAAACTCAAATTCAAATTTGAGGAGTTTGAATACAAAACTTAAAGACTTAAAACATATGACTGAAAATTTGAATTTAAATGGTAACAAAGACCTTATTAAAATGTATTCAGAAAATGTACCACCCAAGGAAAGTAATCACAAAGATACATGTTTTTTTACCAAATCAAACGATGTTGTGGAAGAGAATAAAGTCAGTCATAACTCAGAAAAGGAGGTCAAATCAATCAAAATAGATGGAAATTTGAAAAGTGGTAAAAGTAGAACGTATGGTCCTCTTGAAAGTCCACCTCGTAATACTTTAAATAATGGCTACAAAGAAGTTAAAACCCATGATTGTTTGAATAAGGGTGGATATGAAATTAGTAGATCAGCAGACTGTGTACTTATTAACAATAGAGGAAGCAATCCAAATAAAAACAAAGATGTTGAATCAGCTCCAGTAAAAAGACTGGCCAAGGTCATTAAAAACAAAAATATTGTCTCACCCTTAAGTAGTCCAAAGCTAATTAACAAACCTTCTAAGGTTGAGAAAGATAATCATGTTATCAAACTTGTAAAATCTATCATTAAAAAAGAAAACTTAGAAGCTGCAGAGAGGAAACCAAGGGACCCTCTTAAAAATAATTTTGATAATCTCAAAAATGTTGCTAGCAAAGCAGATGACAAACACAATTTAAGCTCAAAACTTAAGAGTGTGGAGTCAAAAATAATAGATTTAAAATCAAAGTCTGGGAAATCAAAACCTGATAGTAGTAAAACATTAAGAGAACAATCTCCTTTAAGTGATCCAGTCTTAAACAACCCAAAATCTACTCTAAAAATTGGCAAGGAGGCTGAAAAAGCTAATAACAGTCTCAATAGTCCAAACAAATACATCATAAATGACAAAAAGAAAGGAAAATTTGGTACCAAGACAATTGTGTACGCAAGACCAGAAAGTTACTTAAAACATTATATCCCTGCAAAAATGAATGATACCAGTACTGGTGAAAAAATACAATTGATGACGGCAAAAAGTAATAATACCGATGAAAAGTATGCCAACAACAATTCGCTTTCTCTTAAACCCTTAAGTGTTTTGAAAGGTTTTGAAGGAAAATCTAATGCGAAGACTATCCAAAAAGTGTCCACAAAATTAGTTGACGGAAATGAGCAACAAAAAAACACTACAGCAATTAATAACAATAAGAGAAGCATTCCAAGTAATGTGGACAGGATTCGTTTAACAAAGAGTAATGATTTTCAGGAACTTTTAAACTTTGCTGATATTAGGAACGTGTCAAATAGTAAGCAAGTAAGTTTAAGAAAAGTCGAAACGGAAGATAAAAAGATGCAAATGAACCATTCAAAGTCTTCTTTGGCTATCGAAAAAATAAGTAAGGATAAAACACAAAATAGGGAAATCTTATCCAAAACACCTTCCATGCATTCATCCTTGTTTAAAAAATCTGTCTTGACTGATAAAGCTAGCTTAAATTCAGGTGTTTCATCTTTAAAATGTTCTACCTGCAGCAAAAATAATTCAGAACAAAAAACAGGCCTAATATTTCCAACGAAAAGCAAAAGGAAACCACCTTCATTTATTGTTGATAAGAGAACATCAGTGAATAGAAGCACAAATGTAAAGAGAGAATGTATTAGTTCCACCGATATAAAAGAAAGAAGGGAAAAATTCAACTCACTTCATGACGGTCTCATGAAAAGTAAAAGATTGCTGGAATCAATAGGCGATGGACAAAATAACGCACCGGTGATTATATCTAATAAAGGGAAGACTACATACCGAAGACGATTTACTCCTGAAAGAAATATTATGCCAGCTGTGTTGTCCATCAAACTATATAATGCTCTGAAGAAACTTAAAAGCAAACCTCAAAATCCAAACTTGAGCAGAAAAGGAACTGGAGTAAGACAAGAG